GGGGGCTTCGTGTGCGCGACAGGGATGCCATGGGCAGGATCGGGCGGGTCCTGGTGCGGGCCGCGTTTCGGTGCAATCGGGACACTGCCGGCTTGACCAGCCAGGGCGAACATGCAATGCATCAACAGACGCCACAACATCAGTGCATAGACACACCAATTGCGAGGATCAGGGATCTTCAAGTTGCTGCGTAGAGCAGTCGTTGACCATTTCCGGTGTTCGTTTGACCACTGCTTGTGCTGTGAATCTGACGGACTGTTGCTGGCTGCCCACTGCACGCTGCTCGCTGCTCCCAGCTGCATGCACCCAGAGTGACTGCATACCACAAGGCGGCATCAGTTAATTGGGGGTCTACTGGCATAGGCTGCTCGTGCTGCCCGCGCACGGCCTCATGATGGGCAGAGCGGGCGGCCCGACAAGCTGGGCGGGTTAAGCTGGGCCGGGGGGGCTCTTGTGCTGGGATAAGTCAACTTCAGTGGATCGCATGGACACTACACCGTGCAACTGAAGCTCGCGGAAAGAAGCTTTGACACAGAGATCTCGAGCGCCCGCGCCAGCTTGTGAAACTTCAAAAGAGCGTATCCGAAAGATGGATCTCGTGAAAGCGCGCCATGCCAGGGCTTTGAAGGGCGCCCAGCGCGCAGGCGTGACAGCACCGGCCCTCTATGCACCCGGCTGCCGGCGTGTCGCTGCACGCATGCGCCCGGTGGTCACGGCGGCTCCCGAAGGCTTGTGGGCAAACATGCCCATCAATGCGGACGCCACCAAGCTCATTGGAAAGACACCCATGGTGTGCTTAACGATGTGCTGATGATGAGTTCTCCTTGACGACCCACTTCCGCACTCTGCTTCGACTGCCGTCCCGGCCGCCCTGGCCGCCTCGGCCGCACCGACCTCCCACCGTGAACCCTCGCGCGATCCTGCACGCGCGCGCATGCTGAAGCACCCCCCCATGCGCGGCTCCATGCATGCAGGTCTTCCTAAACAGCGTGACGCGTGGAGCTGCGGCGCGCGTCGCTGCCAAGCTGGAGATCATGGAACCCTGCTCCTCTGTAAAGGACCGCATCGCGCTGTCCATGATCGACACGGCAGAGAAGCAGGGGCTCATCAGCCCCGAAAGGACCGTGCTGGTGAGGCACCCCTGAGAGAGGCGCCGGTCAACAGCAGACGTGTAGCAGCGCCCGCAGGCCTGGTCGAACTCAGGCTAAAATTGCAGCATGCAGATGGCAGGAGTGAGCCGTAGCGTGAGCAATGCGCAACCGGCCGCATGCGGCTACATGCGAGCCGCCTGGACCCTGGCTCTCGCGCGCTGCCTGCCGCATGTGTTCACGCCGTCGCCATGCACTGCTGTTTGGTCACCCGTCGCCAAAACAGATCGAGCCGACGAGCGGCAACACGGGCGTCGGCCTGGCTTTTGTGGCGGCCTGCAAGGGCTACAAGCTGGTGCTGACCATGCCCGACACCATGTCCATCGAGCGGCGCGTGCTTCTCAAGGCCCTAGGGGCGGAGCTAGTGCTGACAGAGGGCAAGAAGGTGCGCCCCGGTCGCCGCCATGGGCCCGTGCCACGAGGCAGGAGGGGCATGCAGTGGACGACAGGGGATGGCAACAGTGGACGGCTTCGATATGGGTTCCTTGCAGGGACAGAAACGCATGCTTGTCTGTTGACACAAGCCGCGCAGGGGTCCCTCAACACCCAACCACTGCACACCAACACCTCAGGGCATGACTGGCGCGATTCGCAAGGCGGAGAAAATGGTGGCAGACACCCCGGACGCGTACATGCTGCAGCAGTTTGACAACCCCGCAAACCCGGCCGCGCACTACGCCACCACCGGGCCGGAAATCTGGCGCGACACGGCCGGCAAGGTGGACATTCTGGTGGCGGGCGTCGGCACCGGCGGCACCATCACGGGTGACCGGGGCTGCTTTTGAGTCTGAGGGATTTGGGCACACGTGTGCACGCCCCCCACTTGGGGTGCGATGTATGCGGGGTGAGGAGGCGCGCGTCTGGGTTGGATGAACGCGCATGCAGCACGCCATGCACGCGCCGGGTGCGGCTGCCATTGCCTCCAAGGTGCTGTCCCGCGTCGTCTGCCTCGGCACTGACGCCTCCCAGGCGCTGGGCGCTATCTCCTCGAGCGCAAGCCGGAGGTGCAGCTAGTGGCGGTGGAACCGGCAGAGTCAGCGGTGCTGAGCGGCGGCAAACCGGGGTACCATCAAATCCAGGGCATTGGCGCTGGGTTTGTGCCCAAGGTGACGGCAGCAGATGAGAGCCCGGTTGGGGGGCCATTTGAGGCGGGCTGCATGCGGCCGTGGGCTGCTGGTCGCGCTGATGAGGCACTGCGCAGTCGGCAACGCGACGAGTGCAGGGGTTGCACTGGCTGCCAGGCTGACCCAATGGATGCTGAGCGGCCGGCCACTTTCGCGTCGCCTTGGGGCGCTCCCAGCCACCCCACGCGGGCCCCTGCACGCCCACGTGGCATGAAGCACGCCGTTGCGGCCGCCCGATTACAGCTGTCACCACTGCAAAACCTCCGCCGCCCCCCCCCCCAAGGTCCTGGACGTCAACATTCTGGACGAGATCATCAAGGTCAGCAGCAAGGAGGCGGTGGAGATGGCGCGGCGCCTTGCCCTGGAGGAGGGCCTCCTCTGCGGCATCAGCAGCGGCGCCGCCGTCGCGGCGGCCGTGCAGGTCGCGCGGCGGCCGGAGAACCGGGGGAAGCTGGTCGTGACGGTGCTGCCCAGCTTTGGGGAGCGGTACCTGTCGACGGTGCTGTTTAACACGCTCTGGTCCTTCGACTCAGACATGCGGGACGTCGTGCTCAGCAGGCAGGTGGGCAGCGGCGGCAACGCCCCCGCTGCCGCCGCCGCCGCGTCGCGGCCGGCCGCGGCAGGGCAGGCGCCGGCGCCGGCGCCGCCGGAGCCGCGCACCTCGTGAGCGGCCGGGGGCGGTGGCATGGTGTCAGGGCGGTAGCATGCAGGACGGGGACGCGACAACAGGCCGGGAAAGGGGCACGTGGAGCGGCGCAGGCGTGCGTCGCCCCCCTCCCCTGCTTGTCCAGATTTGCCTACCCCAATGCCGCTCGCTATGGCTGCACATGCCCGTGCCCGCCCAAGTGTTGGCTGATGCTTGCAGCGACTGGCTTTGCTGACAAGCCGACACGGGCCACGCGATCATGCGGGAGCCTGCAAGGCGCGCATCGGCAGGCGCTGATCAAGTTCGTTCCATGTTGCCCCCGCAGCTTTTACTTACATTCATACACTGGTAATGCAATCAAGTGTGTACGCGCCCATCATGGCTCCCTCAAGCGCGGTTTAAAGTATGCCCTGCCCTCTAGGGCACAGCGCCGCATCCAGTATTCCAAGTAGTTTGAGTTGTAAAGTGCCTTGTATCACGCTTATGCTGCCATCAAGAGGACCACATCCGAGCTTGCACTCACACCAGCAATATGGGGCCAGAAAGCCGTTGTTGTGGTGCATTTGAACATCAGAGGTTGGTGCGCAAAGTAGGATAACAGTCGCACCAGTATCAGTCAGGCGAAGGCTCAACACACCCAACCCTGCGGGCAAATGGCGTTCCCGCTTGTCAGCATGACGCCAGCACTGCGTACACTGATATGGATGCCAACCAAGCAAAAGCGATGCTATGCAAGCCAGCCAACAGGCCTGAAGCGCCACTGGATGCAGGCGGCAGTACAACATAACTTATCCTGCTCCCCGCTGCGGATGAGTTCGTGGCACCCAGTGCGGCATCCGTTGCATCACTTGACTTGGCAGATGCAACAGGTACGCTGGCTGCAGATCCCGAGGTTGAGTTGACCAGAGAACGGTTGACCACCACTGGTGGCACGCCGGGTGTGGTGACCGGGGCATCGGTGGTGTTGGTCGTGTTTGTCACAATACCCACGTTGTCCGGCACTCCGGATGCTGCGAGGATTGGCGGGCTCATCCCTGCAGCATTGATGCCGCCAGCAGTAGCGGAGCTGCTGCCACTGGCGCCTGCAGCGCCGGTGGATGTCACATTGGCCGTCCCAGAGACATTGGTGCCGGACGCCTGCAATAACGGCCTGCTGCCCGCATCCAGGACCTTGGGTGACGCCGCCATCAGCGGGCAGCCACTGCCGGCAGCAGTCCCAGGACAGAGGTTGATGTAAGCCACGGCTGCGATTGGGAAGCTGCACGTTGAGGTCCCGCAAGCAGGGTCGGTAGACAGAGCGAGGGCGGCGCCGCTGCTGCCTGATGAGGCGCCGCTGTTGCTGCCTGCTGCGATGCCGACCCTGACGACCGCGGACCAGACCTCCTTGGTTTCTGCGCGGCCATTCCAGACGGGCACGCAACACCAGGAGCCACTTGACGCGCCGTTTCCGCCGCCGCTCAGCGCCCATGAATGGGCGGCGATGAGCTGAGCCGCGTCTTTGGCAGTGCCGTCAGCGAGCTCCACAAGGGCGCCGGCCGGGGCTGCGAGAGGCTCGAGTGCCACGGTGCGCGCAGCCATTGCAAGCACCAGCAGCAGCTCCAGCGCTGGTGCCGCAGTTCTATGCCTTGTGACCATGCCGCAGAGCTTCAAACGTAGTGTTGTGTGGTGTCTTGCTGTGACGATGATTGTGGTGGGCTCCCCGAGGCAACGGTATGCCTGATAGTTCTGAGGCAAGGCTTGCACACGGAATGGGCTTGTGACGATGAAAAGCCTCCTGGCGAGTCCCAGTGCATCGAACGACGACCTTCTCGCAGCCTTACTGTTGTTTGTTCGCCGTCCGAGGCAAGCCGCCTTTCAACGCCACGATTGAAAAGACCGGGATGGTCACCGCACCGCAAGATTTCACACTGTAGTGTCATATGACATGTCATCTGATTTGCCATGAAGAGGGCCGGGTGCTCAAACTTGGGAGGCCCTTTGCATGAACAGCTGCGACCTCCTCCAGCTGGCTTTGCTGAAGTCTGTGCCACTACTGTACAGCAGGTGTGGAGCTACAGCAGGTAGCTCAACACCTGCAAGACCATCACGCTTGAGCTGCACACAAGCCCAGTCCTGTCGCGCCTGGCGCTGCCCTACCCTGAACCTTGTTGGCAGAAGTACACTGAGAAGAGCTCCGGCTGATCTATAATCCCACAGGGCGGGGGGCGCCATGGTGGCGCAGCGGCGCGTCCATGCGGAATGTGCCAGTGCTTGAGCAGGTGCACATCCCGTAGAGCACAAGACAACTGGCGCCGATGGAGCGCCTGCATGCGTATTGATTATAGATCAGGTGCAAGTGCTCGTACTTGCACCAGTGAATACGGCAGGTGTACGCAGTGTGCACAGTCACACCGCGAGTGCCGTATTCCTGTGGCTTGCGGATCACCAAGCACATCACCATGGCATCATTTGGTCAGAACTTGTGGGACTGATCTGCGGCACAAATCCCAAAGCTGGCCAATAACAGACTGACGATTTCTATGAGTACTCTTCAGTCACTGGCTGCAGGGGTCATAAGCCTGCAAGCGTTGGTGTCATTGCTTTGCGAGAGCAATAATGCAGCAACGCTCCACCGGAGGTTGGCGTGATTCTGATCGTAGTCAACACGACTGATACCAACACTGATATCCTGTGCGGGAGGGCCAGCATGTCTAAATACACCATTCATAGCGGCAGTGCATCGCTTGGGTACCGCTGTGGAGTGGCCCCGCTCGTAACAACTGCGCCGGGCAGCGCAGCCAGCAGGGGGTCGAGCGCCGCGTGCAGCAGCATCAGCCCCCGCGTGAGGCCCGCTGTGACCTGCAGAACGAGCTGGTAGCGCTGCGCCAGCACAGCCGCCCGGTTATCCGGGCTGAGAGCGCCCGCGCCTGACCGCCACAGCGGCCGGGTCGCGGCTGTGCTGCCAGACTCGGCCACGACCGGCATCGTCACAGTGGGCCCTCGCGGGGCGCCCGCGCGCCGAAGCGTGGCCGAATGCTGCAGCTTAAGCTGCTCCGTGCTGCTTGCAAGGGCGTCGTCCACCTCGTCGGGCGACACAACGGTCGACAGCACAGGCTGCAGCGCCTCGGACGCCTTCCCCAAGTCCCCGCTCAGGGTGCAGGCCAAGAACGCGTCCGCCTCGGCCCAAGCAGCCGCCTCAGCAGCAGACTCGGGCGATTCTGCCCTTTGCCACAGCTGCCCCCGCGGCGGTGCTGGCGACCCCACCAGCTCCAGATGCGGGGTCTGCTTACCTCCACCCTCGCTCACCAGCTGCCCCGCGGTCGCCGTAAGCGCCGCCGCCGCAGAATCATCTGCAGCCGCGCCAGCGGCCGTTTCTGACAAAGAGCCTGACGGGCTCATAATCGGGGATACCAAAGACGCTGCAGGTGACAGCAGTTGGAGTGAGCGGCTCAGGGTCTCGAGGCTTGCCGAGGAGATGGAGCCAAGGGCCGAAGCGGCGGCGTGCGCCCCAAAGTCGTGCTTCAGTGTCTCCTTGAAGGCCCAGCGGCAGAACTGGATGCAATCTCCAAGTGCAACCGCGGGCAGCGGCGCGCGGGGGCGGTGCTCCCGGCGTACGCACGACGCCATCTCCTGCGATGTTTGAGGGCGGGTGGTGTGGCAACATGCAAGTTTGAGAGGATCATGCTTAGGGAAGCGCTGCGCATGACGCGCGCATGTGCACACTCACACGCGCATGCAGCCGTACGTTACCCCTGCCAGGCGCTGGGCCTGCAGTTGCGATTGCTGCACTATGAATCGCTTCGATGGCTGGGAAGCTGGATTCACAACCAGCGAAGCTGATACCGCTACTCGTTGGGCCGGGTCCCCACCTCAAGGGCCTTCTCAGCAGCCGCCAGCGCCTCCGCGGCGACGTCGGCGCCGCCATAAGCCTGCAGCAGAGCTTCGCGGTTGCCGCCGCCGGCCCCGCGGTGGCGGCCGGCCTTGCCTACGCCGCTGAGCGCCTCAAGGTCGCCCTGCAGCCCCGATAGCAGGTGCAGCAGCTCCGCCATGCGGGCAGTTACCTGGGAGCCGCGGGGCGTGATCCAAAAAATAAAGGCCGTTGCAGAGAGCAAGGCATGGCGGAGAGGCTGGATGGCGAGTGCAAGGCGCCGCGGTCTTGGGATGCCGGCACAGGGCAGCGCAGGAGCTGACATGCGCCAAACCAGAGATATTGTGCCTAGCCGGACTGATCCCTGCCGAGGCGCCCTCACCTGCACCACGGGGCCGACCGGGATGCCGGTGCCGCGTCGCGGCAGCGGCAGGAAAAGCCTGGTGCCAAACACCGTGCCGACGTAGATCTCATACCCAGTGTTGACGAGCAAAGAGTTGACCTGCCTTATGAGCTTTCCAACTGCCGCCGCCTGCTTCACCACGTCCGCCTTTAGCAAGGCCACCCTCTCAGCCCGAGACAGCGGCATCTCATCCTCAACGTCTTGTTCCTCGCCGTCGCCGTCGCCCTCGCCGTCACCGCTGCCCTCCTCGTCCCCCTCCTCCGCGTCATCATCCGCGTCAGCTGTTGGATCAACGCTTTCGAAAAAAGCCTCCTCTTGGTCAAAAGCCGCTTTCTCTTCCTCTGCAAGGGCTGCCAGCTGTTCATTGGACTGGGCCAGGGTGTTGGTGAGCTTCGCCAGGCCGCGCAGCGCGTCGCCCAGCTTGTCGCCAATCTGGCGGCATTTGGCATAGGGGAAAGGCTGTTAAAACCAGGGGATGAGTACGAGGGAAATGCTGGCAGATAGCAGCAATGGGCTGGCTGAATGAGGTGGAGTAGTGTGCCGTCACCATACGGGCTTTGTCTGGTTGCACTGCAGGCAAACGCGCGTTTGCACACCAGGCAAGCACCTAAGAAAAAGCCCATGCGTGCACGTGCAGGCCCCAAGGACGTGCCTCCTTGGTGCTGGCGTTGGGTATCATTGTCAGGAATAAACTCATCGACAGAATGCCCAAGCACAGCCCAGTGGTGCGCCAGGTGGCTGCTGCAACGATGTAGGCGTGGCTGCGCTCTACTAGCAGAGCCACTGCGTGAGTGGCGCAAGCGGTTGGCAAAGGGGCGCTCGGGTTTATAGTTGAGGAGGTGGCTTTGCTTGCAGTCAAACAGTCAATTTATCCTCATCAGTAGCTCTGCAGGCTTTGCCGCCACGCGCCCCTGACACGCTGTCGCCACTCACCTGAGAACGACAGGGTCAATGACTGATATGAGCCATATTCTCCGTCGACCACGAATATAGAGTAGCGCGCCGCGCAGACAATGAAGGCATAAATGGGAATGGTGATCAGCACCAGCCATCTCTGTTGGTACAAGGCCACCCAGATGAATATGAGCGTGCCCACGACGTTGCCCAACAGCCTTCAACGTTGCATGCATGGGCAGGGTTGAGCGGCAGCGCGGCCGAGTAAGCAGAGCGAAGCACGGGGCTGCGCCTCCCACGATACAAAGCAGGCAAGTGCAGCTTGCGCAGCCAAGACACCAGCGCCACCCCCCACCCCCACGCACACCTCTGCGTTGTCCTCAGCACGCTCTCGCCCATATAGGGGGCCACAACCGCATTGGCCGTGAGCACAGCAAACTGCAAAAGGTCACGCCGTGAGTCATGCGAGGCAGTCAGTTTGGGAACAACTCCCGCCATCAGCACTCAGCCCACGCCATTGTGTCCCCGGTCAAGCTGCCCACGCGTGCAGAAAGCGTCAAAACACAACGCGCAGACCAGCAAGCAGAGGCGCAGTCTCGGCGGGGCAGGCGGGCCTCAGCAACTGGCAGCACAGGCACACCCACCAGCGCAGTCTGCGCGATGTTGCGCGTGCCCTCTAGGCGCTCGTCGTCCAAGGCGCCTCTTGACAGGCCCCCGAGGCCGGCTGCTAGGAAGCTGAAGAGGAGCGCGGTGCACGTGCACGGCACTGTCCTGTGTATGCATGGGAGTGGGCATGTGAGTGTGTGGTGCGCATGTGCATGCCCATGTGCGGGTCTGGGTGCGCTGGGGTGTAGGTGAGGGGAGATCATTTTGAGGCCTTTCTGTACATCCGCAGGTGAGGGAGTGATGTGCCATGGACTTGATGCCGGCGGGAAAAAGATGGACGTCTTCAGGGTGGCAGAGCATGTAATGGCGAGCCATGCGGGCTCAAATAGGTCTGCACAGCAAGATCCCTGCCCCTCGCGTGCCCTTCTGCAATCTGCAGAGTACGCACATGCCTGCCGCCTTGCGCAGCCTGTCATCAGGGGGAGGATGCATTTCATGGAGGGCGCACTTCATAAGGTGAGAGTAAGGCATGGCGAAAGCATTGCTGATAGGAAACATCAAACGACGAGGCCGCCTACACATGCACATGTGCAATGGCAGCAACCCAGCAAACGCCTGCCACCGTCCCATGTGGGCCCGGCAGCAACCCTGTGCCACAATACTTCTCAGCCTTCAGTACCCGAGCAGGCCTTGGCTCACTTCTTCAGGCGCTGATGCCACTCCTCGCTGATCATGGGCGTGTATAGTATGTATGGATGCACCAGGGCCGTGCGGGGGGCGGACGCAGCGTGAGCGGTCCAGGTAGCACCAGGGCGCGGCACGGTGTCCGCCCGCCCTGGTCCGCCGCGCTGCCGCGAGCCCGTGCGGGTGCCTAAAGCGGCTTTGATACTCAAATATTCTGCCTTGAGATCGCCTTAAATCACTGTACCGGTAAGAGTGTCACTCATCACAAGAACTGCACACCGGTTTGAAGGGACAATGAGCTTATGTTGATTGCAGCAATTTGAGCGCATATCATACTATTTTGACGTGCAAATTCGATCACAGGCTTCTTCAAGCCTGATCTGTGACGTTGAAGGAAGGCACATGTCAAGGACAATCAACCACGTTGCCAGGCACTCCGCATCGTCAGCAGCCGGTAACCAATGCTCGGCTGTGGCGGTTGCTTATAGAAGTGCTGATCGGGTGATATGGGCGGCAGTGCAGCGCCATGGGACCCGTGGGCTGGGCGCCCGCCACCGCCATGCCCGCGGCAGCGCTTGCCACGGTGGTGCAGGATGGGCTTCCGCATGGCCCTGCTGACTCTGGCCATGGCATCTGCATTTCTTTGGAGAGACACATGGGTGCATGACAGCGTCCAACCGCTGCCGGTTGGCCTCGTGTTCGTGGTGAGCGGTTGACTTGACACTGCGCGCATGGGCACGTTGCATGGAGCGCTGCAAGCAGATGACTTGCCAATCAAAGTCCGCTCAGGTATCTACCAATGCAAAACAAAATGTCTCTGGGCCATGTATCTGAGAAGGGATTAGGTTGTAGCTCCCTTGATTGCATGGCAAGCACCTGTCAGCGAGGTCGACCCTGACACGCAGACGCTCCCGCCGGAAGCCCATGTGCACCATCGGGGTTTACCCGTCCCCCACCTCCCACAGGTTGCTGGAAGCATCATCATCTCCTTTTGGAGGGCCACCACGGGCGCCCTGGTTGCCAACCTCGCCACCCGCCTGCCATGTGAGCCGGTTGCTGGCCAGCCGCAAAATGCATTATTGCATTCCAACTGGCGCCCCCTCGGCAGCACTGTATGCAGACGCTCGTTAGCGAATGTACCCTGTTCAATTGGTTATATTGTCCCAACAAAGGGGCACATTCATCAAAAATGAGGTGGAAGGCGGCCGATGGTCCCCCTGCTAATAATGCATTCTCATCCCCTGCAACCCCTCCGTGAAAAGGGATGTACCTGGCCGTGCTGCTCGCCTGGGGCGTGGCGTTTGCAGTGTCCACAATACCCTTTGCTGTGGCTGGGGCCAGCACGCTGGCTGTGTTCATCAGCACCTTCTACGCCTCTTACAACGCCACGGTGATCTTCAGGCGCGGTCGTGCTGCGCGTGCTGTGCATTCTGTTTCGTGCATGGCTCGCCTGCTGCAAAGGATGCAATCGTGTGCATTGGCCCCTGCGCTGATCGCCGCAATCTCGGAGCAAGAACCAAAACGTACCCACAAATTACGCCAGCCAACGTGCCATCCCTGGCGCCCGCCTCGCATTCACACCCCTTGATTGATTGCAGCCATACAACAATTATGAGTGGGGAATCAACAATTGGATGTGAGCCCGAAGCCGCCGGATGCGCACTCTGCACTCCTAGCGCCTGGCCACCCCACACCTGTACAACTTGCTTGACTAGCACACCTAGTGCCTGTAGGGCCAGCACTGCCAGGCCCACACTGCTTGGCATGCAAACCATCCTTGCCTGCACGCCACCCAGCTTCTCCATCTTTGGCACCTCCCTGCAGGGTGACCCTGTGGAACTGCACCTGGGTGGGCCCTGCGGAGTACAGGTGACCCTGCTGGGCCTGCACACAGGCTGGGGAATGCCTGGCCACACACACCTGTCATTGCCGGTGTCCTTGGGCAAGCCGGCCCAAGGATGCACCCCCTGAGTGTCAAGCCGTGCGCCCACGGAGCCCTCGCCTCCTCTAGCCGCACGACCGCGGCGCCGGCCATTGTGCGGAATCACCCCACCCGCGCAGGTATGACGTTTTCGCCACGATCGTGGCCCTCACGCTGATCTTCATGCTCGGCTGCTGCTCTGTCTACATCTTTCCGGAGTTTGCCATTGACAATGTGAGGCGCGACAACCGGCAACAGGCCCTGCCCTGCCCTGCCCTGCCCTACCCTGCCCTGCCCTGCCCTGCCCTGCCCGAGCCTCTGAAACCCAAGGAGCAAGTAAGCGACGGGTGCAGGCGCAGCTCAGCAGCAAAGCTTTTGTTGCTGCGCCGTCGAGGCTGGCTCATCCCTCACGCCTGGTCTACCCTCTTATGCCCTGCCCGGCCCTCAGGTGTACGCGCTGCACCACGACAGCCTCTTCTCACTCACGTGCATCTGCGCCAGCGCCCTTGGCAGGCCGCTGCCCAAGCCTCTGGCCAGGGTAGAGGACGTGGACACAGACGCAGCATTCATCCGCCTCTCAGGCACCCTCGCTGCGGCCCCTACGCCCGCGACCGCCGCGGAAGCCGCCGCCGCAGCGAGTGCAGCGCGCAAGGGCCATCACTGGCGGCGACCGCGGGACGACGACTTCGCGGCAGTGCTCAGCTGGCTGCATGGAGCGTGCGCGGCGTGGAGAGCGCGCCAGGCGCAGCGGGGGTTGCGCAACGCAGCACTGCCGCACGCAACCCACAGGGGGGGCAGCGGCAGCCGGCCGGCATCAACCCCGCAAGCGGAGCGCACGGCATTTGCGCCGCCGACGGCGCAGCGTCATGAGTCTCTGGTTGATTGCCAGGTGCATGGCTCCGCTGCTGCAGCTGCTGCTGACACCGCCGCTGCTGCAGATGTCAGTCGCAGCGGCCCGCCAGTGCAACAGCTGCGGGCAGGGGCACTGGGCGGCATGAGTCAGGAGGAGCGATCGTTTGCACAGGCAGAGTGGTTTAAAGTGGTGCGAGCTGTGGAGCTTGCAAAGACCACGCAGGAGGAGGCAAAGAGCGAGTTTTACATTTGCACAGTGTTAGGTTTCAGGTGGGCGGCGTCGTGCAAACGGCGAGTGCTGGATGGCACCGCTTGTAGCAGCGGGCCATGCGCATTGCAGGGGGCCTGGGCAGCAAGTAGGGCAGTGATGCGCGAGCCGCAGCGGCAGTGGTGATCCAGGGGCCGCTGCCTATGGAACCAGGCTTGTTTTGCGAGTGATATGGACAGCAACCCCCCAAACCTACCCATCTGTCTGGCTGCCCAAACATCGTGTGCCCCAAACGTGCAGGGTGATTATCCCTATGAGCCGCCGCCTGCCTTTTGGCAAGAAGCACCTGGGAAAGTCTGCCTTGAAGAAGCTGAGTGAGGTGCGTGCAGGCAGTAACACACACATACACATCCACACGCGCACACACACATGCGTGCGCAAATACTCGCACAAACACACAAACGCCCACAAATACCAATCCAGACTAGAAATTCGCATGTGCCCTTGGTTGATGCCGCCGCACCCGCGCGCTCACACTGCGACTCCCCACAGCGCACCTGCAGCACCGTCCTGGCTGTCCACAAGCTGACCACGCTGCTGACGCGCACCGCCGAGGCGGCGCCAAAGCTGGCAGCGACGCTTGCAGCCAGCCCGGCGTGGCGCGAACTGGAGGACGCGCTGCTGGCGGCGCTGGAGGTGAGTGCCCTGGGCCAAATATTGGCTGTGCAGGTGCCGGGTTCCAGTCGCCGGTCCAGCGGGGACTTCTGTCGCGCTTTAGCTCACCGCACCTTGCGGCATCGGGTTTCTCTTGGCGAGTCTGCCGGTGACGTGCGTCGAGTGAGTGTGCGAATCACGCCGGAGCGGGCGTGCCTGATGATGCCCACGCGCCTGATCTGCCTGTGTGGCCCGGCCCCTTAAATGGAGCCGCCGACGCCCCTCGTGCAGGCTGCCTCAGTCAATCGACACCCCTTGCTCCTACCAGCCGTCTCCTCCCGTGCCATGCCTGCTCACCTGCCCCGCAGGACGTCTGGATGTACTTTCCCTTCGCTTACAAGCCCCCGCAGCACAGGATCCCCACCGCCAACCTGAAGCACTTCCTCTCCCTCGTCCACGCCCTGCCCGCCGCCTTTCAGCTGCTGCCAGCAGGCACCGTCGGCAGCGCAAGCAGCGACCCGCGCCCCCCGCCGGCGCCCTCGGCGAGCACACCCGCCGCGCCGAGCGCAGCGCAGCACATGCAGGCGCCGCCCCTGTCGGCGCTGGCGGACGCCCCGCCGGCGCCGGCGCTGGAGGCGGGCCTTCTGCTCCCGCATGGCGTCGAGTGGTCGGAGGCGGCGGCGTCCATGCGCTGGCTGCTGCTGACGGCGCAGCTGGCAGAGTTTGGCCGCGAGCTGAAGCGGCTGCACAAGAGCGCGCGCAAGTCGTCCAAGGCGATACGGCAGAGGTCCCTGGCAGCCTGGCTGCGCGGGGAGGCAGCCAAGCGCACTGAGCCCGCCGGGTTGGGAGGTGGCGGGGTTGGGCGCTGATTACGTGCGGTGTGAGCTGTGGCAGGTGGGGCCCCAAAGTACGGGCTTGGCAGCGGGTTTAATCCGGCTCGTCGAGAGATCATGCTTCCACTCACCCCACAGATCCTGCCATTTTGTACCGGCACACTTCCCCCAGGCTTGCTGCACAGTGCAATGAATACCCGTCGCTCATATCGGATCGGGCCAGCAGGTCTTGTTGTTCGCCCCTTGCGCCCGCAGCAAGGGCTCGCAACCCACCTGGGCCACATCCCAGCTCCCTGGGGCCACTTCATCACTCGCACCGCCAGCCTGAATTTTCAATGCCTTCCCCAAGTTGCAGCAATCGAAAACACGCTGCTGGCATGTGCTTGGCAGTGTGCCGCAGGAGTGTGCATTTATCTGGCTGGCCTTCAGGAAGGCACCCTTTTGCCATGCTGTTGTTGCATGCCTATCGCAATATTGCAACTGGGCTGCACGTGCGTGAGCAGGATGTGCCCTTCATACGAGATTTTAGCCTGGTAAGGTGCTATTGTGAAAATTACGGTACCGAATGAAGTGCATACAGTGCTACTGCCACTTGTGAGGAACTCAATGTGAGCAGAGCTGCTGACCTGGACCATTCGAGGGTCACACCAAGCAGAATGTATTGCACCGGTATCAACAGTATCGTAGCGTTGCTGACAAATGATTCCTGGTGTTACGGTGACAATTGTTGACAATCAACAAAATTGTGAGATCGTGCAGAGTCACAACATTTGAAGTGGCACACACCTGACGGTGCTCCAGAGGTTCAAAAAACATACGCAAGCTTAGAATCGACTTAGTCGTGTCGTTGCTGGCTTGAAGCGCCTTCTAACACAGCTTTGACCCTATCGGCCGATTTTGACAGCGCGGCTCGGCATAAGCATGGCGTCGACCGGGTGAGGCTTTATAAGGCGGATGTACTGTCCTTTGCTTGCAGAGTGGCGCAACGGATCCGCGCGGCCGCCACGTGCCCACACAACGCCGCGCCAAGCAGGCGAGTGGTGCAAATGCCAACCACGCCACCACGCCATTCGCCTTGCCGCACCCCAGGGGCCGCGCGGCCGAGAGCAGAGCAAAGGGTGCCATCTACGGCACAGACAGCCGTCCGTTGACGCCCATCAACCACGGCAAGAAAAGTGCGGCTCTGGCGCGTGGCAACATGTCAGCGCCCCAGCAACACTGCCGCTTGCTGGTCGGCGCGCCTGCTTGTTGCAAAGGCTGCGACAACTGTGACGTCTCACTATCGTCATCTCGGCGCCTCCATGTGCGCCACGCACGATAACATGCACTGCACCCAACTAATTGTCGCCCGCCCCAAACGATCTTGACGCCACAGTGGTGGCGGGCTCCAACTGCGGCGGTGGCCTCCCTTTCGCCACATTCGCGCCCGGCGCTATCGAAGGCAACGACAAGTGGCCCACGGACTTCCACATGATGGAGAAGACCGGCAGTGTTGTGGGCAAGGTGACTGGGAGCGCGCGACTTCTCAGTCGACAGCGCCCGGCAGCTCTGCATGACAGTGTTGCATCTGACGGCCACCTTCCAGTTGCGCAACCGACCCCACGCGCGGCTGCCGGGATACCCTTCCAACGCCGCGCCTCTGGACCTCAGGTGGGCACCCAGGAAATCTCGCGGGACACCTACAGGCACCAGATGGAGATGAACCACGCCATCGACGCGGAGAGCCGCGCGCGCAACTCGGGTGCGGCGGCACACGCAAGAACGGGTGTGGACTAATCCTAAGGTGGACTCATCCTGGGGTACACCCAGCCTGAAGCTATTAGCTGCGACCAAGCTGCTCATGCTGCAGCTCCGCTTCGCTGCTACAACGCAACTTCAGCGCTCTTCAACTTGCGCCTGTGCCCACCTGTAAATCAGGCGGTCCGGCCCCTTTTGCCGCGGATTACTCCTGCCCCGCGGGCGCCGACGGTGGTGGTCGGCACCCCGCGGAGGACTGTGGCCTGCCCGCCAACAGGGGCGGCCGCGAGCCCACCGGCAAGGTGGGGGCACCGATGGGCGGCTTCGATGCCGAGGTTTACGCGACTCAGCGCGCGGTCAACCATGGCATCCATGAGAAGGCCCTCGTCAACAAGTTTGGGGGTGAGGGCACCCACCGATGCGTTTATGTGCAATGGGAAGAGAGGTCTAGGCAGAGATATCACGCTGTTGGCGGGTGCACAGAGGTGGGCGGTAGGGCTGCGGGCCTGCCAGCCAGGGGCAAGGCGCTATCGACAGGACATGCGCCCCGACCACAAGGCCATTTCACAGACATACAGCTGTATAATCCAGAAATCCACGCTCTTGCCCACAATCAAACTATGCACACCGCAGCGGCTGGCATAGATGCGTCCCACAGCGCGCCCTTTGCCACGTCGGACTCGTTCGACGAGCTGAGGCGCCGCGAGTACTACACCGCCAAGCCCAGGCGCCAGGACGAGGCGGCGTGCGCCAAGGTGTGCGCGCGCCACAGCCAGACCACCTGCCAGTGGCGACAGACAGCATGCTGCTGCTGCTGCTGCTGCTGCTGCTGCTGCTGCTGCTGCTGCTGCTGCTGCTGCTGCTGCTGCTGCTGCTGCTGCTGCTGCTGCTGCTGCCGCCGCCGCCGCCGCCGCCGCCGCCGCCGCTGGGCAACAGAGCAAACCCGACCTTGCCTTACAGACGGCCAGCTAATCGGGACCAACGGCCCCCCGCGCCCCTATCCCCCTGCTATCGCACACGCCGAATGTCCCCGCAGCCCTACAGCCAGCAGGGCTTTGACGCGGCGCCCTACAGCGCCCAGCTGCGCCACAATCACGACCACCAGGTCCAGAGCACCATAAGGAGCTTCGTCGGCAGCGGCAACATCCTGGCGCCAGGGTCATAAACACGGAATGAGAGTCTGGGTTCTTCCAACGGCGGCGTGTCTTAGCGCGTCGGCGGGGCCGGTTGCTGGATGCACGCACTGCGCGCAGCCTGGTCTGGGCTCTCCTTGACATTGATGCAGTACACATGGTGTCCAAGCGCCTGTCAGTGCATCGTGTTTGCTCTGGGTTACTTGTTTGATGGGGTCTGGTAATGTTGTCGGTTTGAAACAATTCTGTGACAGCAAGGACACTCACAATTCACCAACAGTCACTTGAAAGCAAATGTGCAGCCAAAGCAATTAGGGCATAGTTGCTGCAAACAGGCGCACGCTGCATTTATACATTGAAACATACACATGTGCTGAGGTCAAATGCTGAGCGTCGCCAGAGTTGCTGGCAGCCCTACCTCTGCCGCAGCCCCTTGGTCTAAAAGCACCCTCTGCCGCCGTTCCGCTGCCGCCGCCGCCGCGCCGCAGCAGCCCTTCCACTTCCTGCCGCTGCCGCAGGGGCAGCCCTTGTTGCGTGCCGGTTTCTTGCCCACCACCGGCGCAGACGGCCCCACCTCCACACCCTTCCTGGGTCGTGCCTTGCCTTTGGCGCCGGTCTTGGCGCTGCCTGACGGTGTGCCACTTGTGCTGCCCATGTCTGCCCCTGGAGTCTGTTGGCTGCTGCTACTGTCAGCCGGCGCTTCGGCTGCATCAGCTCTATCTCTAGATTGAGATGCCTCAGCTCCAGGGTCGACGGCCATACTGCTGCCTGCGGTGCTGTTATGAGAGGCGCTGCCCACCTGCCCTGCTTCCTGCTGTTGTTGCTGCTGCTGTTGCTGCTGCTGCTGTCCCTCAGCCTTGCCGGCTGCTGGATCAAGCTCCAGGCTCTCCCCACGTGCTCCTGCTGCGCCGTCCGCATCAGCACCCTGCCCTGCGGGACTGCCGTCACCGCCAGCCATGGCCTCTATTACGCGTTCGATGGCCATATCCACGTCCCCGCCTGCCTCCCTCAGCGCGCGCTGCACAAGCGCAGGGCTGTCGCAGCACGTGTTGGCAGCCACACGCGCCTCGTCGGCGGGTGTCCAGATGGCGCGCTCCTGGTGGGGTCGCAGGATTGGGGAGTGCACCAGCAAGCGAAGGGAGTATGGCTGTGGGTTCCTTAGATTACCTTGCGCCAAAGGGTGGCGCTTCACGAGCGCAACATAATGCACGTGCACTAATGTCCGCGTGTGTGCTCGTGCTCGTTTGTGCGTGTGCGCGTTCATGTTCGTGCAGGTGTATGTCGGGGTTTGTCTCTGTGCGCACGCGCGCGCGGATGTGTTGGTGTGTGCGTGTGTGTGTGTGTGTGTGTGTGTGTGTGTGTGTGTGTGTGTGCGCGCGTGTGCGCGTGTGCGTGCGTGCGTGCGTGCGCACGCGCGCGCACGTGCATTGCCCATGCAGAACGATAAGCGCACCTTGGCGATAGCTGCCGCAGTTGCGCCACCCGCGCCCAGCGTGATGGTCCGAGGTGGTCCCCGGGTGTAGTCATCCAGCAGCCTCACTGAGTTGTAGTGCTCCCCTGGGCGAGGAGCGAGCCAGGCGGGCCACACAAAAAAGTGAGTGTTCAGCGGTCATGGTTGGTGGGGTGAGGTGGCAGGCTGTGCTGGCTCTGACACCCGGCCTCAGCTGGTACGACCGGTATGTGCCAAGTGCGGGTGCACCCACCTCCATGGTAGGATAGGTGAATTGAGGGAGCGTGATCTGTGGAATCGACGACAATAGCAAAAGGGGTCAAGAAGGGTGCTTGAGCATTGAAACAGGGGGTGTGTCCAAGGTGGGTGCGGTTCAAGGTGGAGGCCCAAGCGCAGCGGAAAAAGAATGAGATCTGAGCATGCAGGGCGCCGAGGCTCCGCGTGCCGCCCCTGTTGCCGCATACGCACGCCCCCGCCGCCCAGGCGTGGCCGGCGCCCCCCTTCCCTGTGCACCTGGGTGGTTGCGCACCGTCCAGCGCGGCTGCCCCTCTTGATACACGTACACGTTGGCCCCCATCAGCAGCGACAGCGCCTGCAGCTCCATGTGGCCGCCCCACACGCCGTCCTGCCGGCGCCAGCGCGGTATGGCGCGCGCGAGGGCGGCCCGGGGGCGTGGCGGCGGGTGGCGATTGGAGCCCGCGCGGTGGCGGAGGGCTCCAGCCTGCTCCGTCGAGCCACGACAGCGGGCGGGGCGGCCGCAGCCGCAAACCACTCGGCCCGGGATCCAGCCCGCCCAGAGCTTTGGGTCTCACCTTGCGCATGCGTTTGATGTAGGTTTCAAAACCCTGGGTGCCAAGGCGGGCACGAGCACGATTGGGTCTCAAGAGACGCACGACGCCCCGCCACGGCAGGCCCCTGTCCAGCGCCCCAGACCAAGTCGAGCCGGCCGTCGCCGCCGCGAGAGGGAGAGGCGATGGGAGCCAGCGCCTCGCTCTCCGCAGGCCGATGGCTGCGCCCCCCCCTTCCTGCGCTCACTTGGCTGCTGGCCAGCGCCTGCCCACCTGATCGTCCTCCACAAACGGCTCAAACTCCTCGCGCCGCTCCACCATCAAATCACACGCGCGCTGCCGCAGGTCTGTGTGGCGCCCCTCGTCCCCCTGAGAGAGGCGCAAGGGGCGGCCGAGGGGAGGCGCGGGCGTCACAGCCGCTGCCGGCAGGAGGAGGGACGATGCCTCCTTGGGCCCGCTGTTCATCCACGACTCTCTTCCAAATGCAGGCGAAGGCACCTGCCATGAATTCACTTGTCTCCCAATTTGGGAGCCTGGTAGCATGCACCAGTTTGCAAGGCGGCAGGATAGCTGAGTGAGATGATGTGTTTGATATATGAGAAAGGGCCGTTGAGCCCTTGTCAGCGCTCTAAGCCTGTGCAGAGAACACAGCACACACCTCGGTCTGGTCTCCCACCGCCCTGAAGAGGCAGTTGCCGTCGGCCGTGATCTTGGCCACCCGCAGCCCCACGGCCGCCAGCTCCCGCTCAAGGGGGTCCCCAAAAAACAGGCCGCCGCCCTGCTTGCCCTTCGACTTCTGCGATTGCCGTGGGCGTTTTGATGAAGGGGGTGGTGAACATCTGAGGAGCAGGGCAGGGGCGATCAACCAGATTTACCCAGTTGGGCTGGCGTCAGCTTCAGGAGCGAGCCGCAGCCGCCATCCTCGCGCACACCTTGTCTTTCGCAGCTGCAGACGCTTTCTGGAGGCCAGGGGTTGCATCAGCGCTGCCGCTGTTGGCAGCTTTCTTCGCTTTGACTCTCTGCGCGTCCTTGGCCTTCCCCATGCCTCCTCCTCTTGCTGCGCGCAGGCTCGCGCCGCCCACGCCACGCCGCCCCCCTGGCTCTGCTGCCGCTCCAGCGAGCCCGATATGCAGCGAGCACCAGAAGGCGCTCGAATGGTGTATCGGTACTGATTAGTCAAATAAAGTCTGGACGAACTTGTTGCAGCCGAACAACCTGTAGATCTCGCAAGCCACGTGTTTACACGGAAAAAAGGGACTATAGCAATAAATTCACGCCCAAAAGGTAGGGTATATACGCAAGGGCAAGCAGGTTGGCTTCGCTCCAGGAACATGGAAGTGGTTGCACTGCTGGTGACGCAGGTGGTGACGTGGCTACTGCTGTTATGCTGCTGCTGCTGCTGCTGAAGCTGTTGCTGCTGCTGCTGCTGCTGCTGCTGCTAACTGTTGCTGCTGCTAGTGGTGCTGCTGTTGGTGACGTTGTCAGCACAGATGCCACTCTGCTTCGGCCGCAAGTATGTACTGCCACCCCTACCCATGGTGCCACACCATGCTGTTTGCTGTTCACATGGGCCTTCCTCCGGGTCAACGTTGGCCACAACAGGTGAGAAGAGCTTCTGCCGATGTGTGTTTCAAAAGCCACACAAAGGCAAGCGTCACATGTGAAGATGCGACAGGCAGTCCGCCAGGGCCAGGATGACTGGCGCGGGCACGTCTGGCAGCTGCGCCGCCAGCAGCGGCACCGCCGCGGCGGGCGGCAGCAGCCCCGGGCCCGGCCCGGCCGCCGCAGCTGCGCCTGCCACCCCTCTGCGTCCACCCTGCTGCCGCTGCTGCTGTTGCTGTTGCTGCTGCTGCTGCTGCTGGTGGTGCTGCT